GATGAGAAGTGATGTTGGCAAAGCCGGTATCCTTTATTTGAAGATGTCAGACAAGCCTCTCTATTAATAATGAAAATGAGCCGTGTTATACTGAGGGATATGACACGAAATACGAACATATACTGAAATACTGTCATATATAGACGCTCAAACACATGGCTCATGGTTATGAAAGTATATATATATATACTCAGTGTATTACGCTAGGGAAAAAAGAAAGAAAATAAACCAAGAGATGAGCAAGATTCTACTTTCAAATAGCGCGAACCAAACTTGAATGAGAAAAAAACTTGAAGAATGCAGCTTGCAGCTTCAAAACCAGCCTACATCCTGTCCCGTTTCTTCATATAATTATAATGAAGAAACGCCAACAACTTTGTGGAATGTTACTTACAGTGTGTCAGTCTCCTCTATATATATATATCAATCACCGAGTTTTTGTTGTTGTTGTTGTCGTTGTCCAAAAGAAAAAACAAAAAACTCGGTGATGAAAGTATAGATAGAAGGTATTGTACCGAAAAAATAATAAGTGATGCACGCTTGTGTGTCGTTGTTTCCCAAATATAAGTAGACAAATAACCGAAACCCAAGCAAAAACGTATATAGCAACAGCCCTCTCGTCGTCGTTTCTTCCCGTATATTCACCACACCAAGTTGTGCTGTACGGTACACTACAGTACGGCCCTGTATATATATATACAGAGAAGCCATACGATACTATGCCTGGCAGTGCGTGGTGGAACTACTTATGCTGCTGCTGCAGGTTCCTTCCTCTGCATGTATACGCCTCGGGGCAATTCCTGCGACCAGCAGCAGCAGCAGCAGCAGGGAACCAACTTTTTGCATCAAATTAGCCACAGCTCGTAACCTCAATTAGGCTCAACAGTAAACTTCCGCAAGATGCTGTCGTCGTCGTCGTCGACATGCATGCTCAACATCAGAGCAACTTTACAAGCTCCAGCAGGATTTAATTCATTGAAGCAGCAATATAGTAAACTTGATATGAGACAGCTGCCGGTGCTGCTGCTGCAGCAGCAGGACATAACAACAATAATAATAATAATAGAGATGCAAAAGTAACAGTGAGGCTGCTGCTTTTAATATACTGTATTTATTCCACAGCATCAGCAAGCATCTTCTTGTGCATTTCTTATTATTGTTGCAAAATAATTGGACGAGACACGCAGCTGTCCTTCGAGATTGTTATTCGACTACTGTATATACAGCTTGGAAGAACGTGCGGGCATGTGCAGCACGCACGGGGACCTGAATTTGCATGCAAATGTAGGCGGAAGTGCAGCTACGTATATACGAGTACCTATATACCGTACGGTATGTATTTACGCACAGCAGCAGCAGGGCTCGTCGTAATCAGCAGAACCGAATTCGAGTGCTGCTGCGTGCATCAGCATCAGCATCAGGAGAGAAGGAAAGAAACGACGCCAACAGGCTTTCAGCAGAGATAAACAGGACGAAGGAAGACGACCGGGACAATTTGCCTGGCTTGCATACATACATACATTTGCATCCGGATCCCCGACATGTCCCCTCATTAGCTTGAGGACCCCGGCTCTGCGCTTCAGGGTTGCAATTATCTCGCCACAAAGGCACTGCTGCTGCTGGGCCCTATGTGCTGTACAGCTTATATATATAAGACGGACTGCATCACCATCATCATCATCATCATCCTCCTCCTTCGTCTGCCAGTATCATCAGAGGCCTTCTCTTATTAGAGCAGGATATATATATATATATATATGGATATAGAAAGCAGAAGCAGACATGAGAACAAGAGAGAGAGAGAGAGGGGGGACTTTGTAGAGATTTCCCTCTATCTCTCTCTCTCTCTTTTTCGACTGCTTATATACGCAGTCTTTGGCCATGGTCATCTGCATATCATCCCCCTCCCCCCGGCCCGTCTACTCTTGGACCAGTGATAAGAAAGGAAATGAGGGAAACACAAGCCGAAAATCCAATTGTAGCCAGACAATTCCGCTTCCGGTTGGGCAGCAGCAAGAGGGCCAAGGCCGAAATGTAGTTTCCACAAGCACCAGCAGTCGCTGTTTTTGCACACTACGTACCTCCTTCACCTGTTGTCTCTGCTGCATATATATACATGTATATATGTATACAGCAGTACTGTGCATATATTGCATGGTAGATGAGTACCTTTGGCCCTCCCCCTCCATTTCCCTTTTTTGCCCTATATAAAGTACTGCATATTGTACATAAAATATACTTGCGTTTTGCAATTCACCCAAAACAGGCACGGGTCGGAAAGCGCTTACAAAAGGAAAAAAAAAACGGAAGGAAAGTTGATAGCATTAAAAAGTTTTAATCCCGCCCAAGTTTTAAATTGGGAATCTTTCAAATCCAACATTACAAATTAAACAAGAATTTCAGAGATTGTGGCATCTTTTGTCTTTCTTTTCTCATATATAGGAGCATGATTGCAATATTTTCATAACTTATTTGGAATATTTGAAAATCTTTGAAAATTCATGAAACGAGCGATCGTTATATACAGGGAACACCCCGTCATTTTGCGAACATGAGTATTTTTCATTCCATGCGTTGCTCTTCATTTCAACGGGAATGAGCAAAAACTGCTGAAACGATTAAAAAGTGGAGTTTTTCTAATCATAAATTTTGAAAATACCCATCAATCAAATCATGAATGATACAAGAAGAACTACTTCATGAAGTCAGAACAGAAGAAAGCAACAATCCTGCAGCAGCAGCACTTGCATCAAAGGTTCGAAGTTGATATATTTATATATATATGGCAGCACTAGAAATCGAAATTACTTTTAGTCATTCCGTTTCGCTTCCTCGCTGATCAAATTTTTTTTACCGCAATATATATGATGGGTATACACTTGAGAATATTTCCCAAAAATTATCTTTTCTTTTTTAAGCATATTGTATGTCAGAATTTATGTGTGCCACACTTTCTTTTATTTTTATTTTGAAATCTTTCTGTTTTATCGTGGAAAGGATCGCACTTAATTTACATGATCTTATAGAATGAATGAAATCAAAACTCAATGCGGGTGCTATCAATGGTGAATTTTCATCGACACTGCTGAATGTATTGCGAGAAATGCAATACAGTAATGTTCTGTATATGTTAGGCCTCCCATTCAGTACCTGAAAAAAACAAATCAAGGTGAATTTCAAAGCACTTCCGCAACGTTCCTCGTCACCATTATTTACTCGGTAATCCGTGTAGATGTCACCTGAATCGTATTTCATATTCCATGGAGTACCTTACGATTAATGAAACGGGAAATTGTATCGGGCTAGAATGTCAAAGTCAGACCTCGTCGGGTGTCTGCTGAAGTTTGAGCCTTTTCCACGGCTACAATATGTAGTCTCAGTAGTCAAGTCAAGACAGCAGGGATTGAGTCGACATGTGTCTGGCGCTGCTGGCATATAGCAGCTAAAATAGCGCAATATCGAATAAAGATGACTTAAACCGCGAAAAGAACCGAAATCATAACCGGAAATACGATTCGAGCTGCGAGTGTCATCTTGCTCAGATCCCGAGAACAAATGGTCAAAGCCTTTATTTCGACTCAGTCTTTCTTTAGATTTTTTTCTGCTTTTCTTGATGCTCGGATCTGGAGCATGAAAGATGGAAATGAAATCCCCATTCCTGACGACGAAATTTCCTCGCGAAGGCATTTTTTTTTTTTTCCTCTGGCGAATAAGAAAGTTCCTCATTTTATAACCACAGATGACACAGGCTCTGTATATATGCTATATACTGTATAAACGAGAGAGAAAGACTAGCTTGGAAAGAGTTCTCATCCATGCAGATCAACTTGCGTCACATGTGACATTAACATGGGGAATGTGAAAAAAAATTGGCACATGAAATTAAAAAAAATTGCAGTAGTTCTCTGAGAAATCCTTTAGATGTTAAACGTTAGTCATACGTTGGAAGTTCATTCTAGATCATTTAATTTTCTATAATTTTCGCACAAATAACCTTTGTTAATCATTGAAATGCTCACCTTGTCTGAATAAAAAACGCAGGAAAGTTGAACATTTATTTTTGTATTGCCAGTAAGTATGAGTATTTAAAGAAATTGATGCAATTTCATAAACAATGAATTAATAGAAGAAATGTTTTTTCTCGGAAATCGGAGCTTTTTTTGTTTGTTGGTCGACCCTTGTATATGTATATTTAAAGTATGGACAACATAAACCATGATCATTTCACACCCCGCAAAGCCAGCTAAAATCCCGCAGCTTCAAAATGGGGTTTAATTCGTCGTCGTTTCTTCCCGTATATTCACCACACCAAGTTGTGCTGTACGGTACACTACAGTACGGCCCTGTATATATATATACAGAGAAGCCATACGATACTATGCCTGGCAGTGCGTGGTGGAACTACTTATGCTGCTGCTGCAGGTTCCTTCCTCTGCATGTATATACGCCTCGGGGCAATTCCTGCGACCAGCAGCAGCAGCAGCAGCAGGGAACCAACTTTTTGCATCAAATTAGCCACAGCTCGTAACCTCAATTAGGCTCAACAGTAAACTTTCGCAAGATGCTGTCGTCGTCGTCGTCGACATGCATGCTCAACATCAGAGCAACTTTACAAGCTCCAGCAGGATTTAATTCATCGAAGCAGCAATATAGTAAACTTGATATGAGACAGCTGCCGGTGCTGCTGCTGCAGCAGGACATAACAATAATAATAGAGATGCAAAAGTAACAGTGAGGCTGTTGCTTTTAATATACTGTATTCCACAGCATCAGCAAGCATCTTCTTGTGCATTTCTTATTATTGTTGCAAAATAATTGGACGAGACACGCAGCTGTCCTTTGAGATTGTTATTCGAATACTGTATATACAGCTTGGAAGAACGTGCGGGCATGTGCAGCACGCACGGGGACCTGAATTTGCATGCAAATGTAGGCGGAAGTGCAGCTACGTATATACGAGTACCTATATACCGTACGGTATGCATATACGCACAGCAGCATCAGGGCTCGTAATCAGCAGAACCGAATTCGAGTGCTGCTGCGTGCATCAGCATCAGCATCAGCATCAGGAGAGAAGGAAAGAAACGACGCCAACAGGCTTTCAGCAGAGATAAACAGGACGAAGGAAGACGACCGGGACAATTTGCCTGGCTTGCATACATACATACATTTGCATCCGGATCCCCGACATGTCCCCTCATTAGCTTGAGGACNAAAAAAAAATGGAAGTCTTTCTCTTCTGGGTTCTTTCTTCGGAAGTGCATGACAGTGTCAAAAATATGACAATGATTACGGAAGAATCGATGATGAGTTTCGTGGGTGAATTTTCTTTTCTCAAGAAGATCACGGGCAAATGAAGGCACGAAATTCGTTAGGCGAGATACAAGGGTACAGGCAAATCCCGGATTAGGTGTCAAATACTATTGAAATGATAAAAGTGGGGGTTTCTGGGTAATGCAGAGGGTACAAGAAACCGTGACGGACATAGTAATACTGTACTGTACGTGATACAGTATCATCTCTCGAGATCTCCCGCCGAAGTAGAAAGTAAGTACGAAGATAATAAGCTCATTCAACGAAAAAAAAAATTTTTCTTTGCTGGAGAATCTTATTACATGATTTTTCCTTGAACAAACAGACCTCTTTAAGCGAAAGCGAAATATCGAGCCTTCAGCGCTTGGCGTTGTACAGACTTACACCCGCTCGTGAGAAACCATACCATAGAACAATGCCCTTCATATGTACAATATGCTGAGGGAACACAAGGAAACAAGCAAACTGACTGATACCGAGCCCAACAACGTCCACCGCACCTTGCCTTTCGCATCATCAACGCATGATCGACGATTTCGTTCGTTCAATATCACAGCCAAGCTACGAATTATGAGTACCGTAACAAAACAAAAAAGGGAGTTTTTCGCTGAAGTCGTTCATGACCATTCAACCGTTAAGGGTTGAGCCAAGGATGAAAACAGAGTTATGTCTAGTTGCCCACTTCTCTGGTCAAATACAAATTTTGAACTTACAGTACCATTGTTCACAACAACACGCGTTACATTCGCAGATTCCGAACGTACAGTTACCCCAAAAATGGATACCCTGGAGAGATTCATGGTCGACTCGTATCCCCATTTGTTCACGGATGCTCTCAGCTTTTGATCCTTCACTCGGAATTCTATGAGATTAAAGAATCTTTTCTCCCACGTTCCTGAAAAAGAAAGACAAAAAGAAATTGAAATACACAACACATCAAAAGAATTAAAAATATAGCTTACCAATGGAATCACCGTCATCCCAATACAATTCACCGAAGGCTTCTCCACGATGGTCCAATCCGACTATCACCTCAAACGGCTTACTTCGCCTATGCGAAAGAAAATACGTGTGCTCAAGATAAATTGAAGACATTCAAAGCTATCAATCGAAAATATTACATAAAATGTCACAGCAATTTAACCTTCAGATATGCTAGAACTCCTTTCAAGACACGACCCAAGAATTATTTACTGAACTTAAATTCATGCAAATCGTCATGCTATAGTTTCAACTTTTAATGATTTCAAGAGAGCGTCTCGTGAATATCATTTCACTTGAAATTACGGTACGCTGAAACTACATTTCTTCCTATTATCATTACCCATCATGTCTCCAAGAATACGAAAGCTGTGTGATCCATTATTTTTTACGTAGCCCTCAATGGCTCCCTAGCCCGATTTCTCTCTTTATCCTTCTTACATGATTCTGGTGATTCTGACGCATGCATAATACACCCATCACGCGCGTTGTCTCGCGAACGCGTGTGTGTATATGAAGTCTTATTTTTGGGCCAGCCAGCGAGTCATATAACCTGCTGGCTGACCACCTGCTTAAAACTGCTATGCTGTATTCTGTCCAGCAGCATTCGTGCCCGAGCACTCGCAACTGGTTGTTGTTGTGCGCTGTCAATAAAAGCTTATTGCGAGAGATGCTTAGGACCAACGATTAAATAAGCTTGATCGATTTTTAGGAAATCGGGCGTTTCATGCGCCTTCTGTAGATTCAATTTGGAGGATAGGAATTGTTATCTGAAACATCGAGGTTGGTAACGAACTTTTTATTAGACGTAATATTAAGTCTTTGTTTAAAACTCACCGATCTTTCAAAATTCTAGTGAATTTGGATAACAAAATGCTCACCTTGTCTGAATAAAAAACGCAGGAAAGTTGAACATTTATTTTTGTATTGCCAGTAAGTATGAGTATTTAAAGAAATTGATGCAGTTTCATAAACAATGCATTAATAGAAGAAATGTTTTTTCTCGAAATTCGGAGCTTTTTTTGTTTGTTGGTCGACCCTTGTATATGTATATTTAAAGTATGGACAACATAAACCATGATCATTTCACACCCCGCAAAGCCAGCTAAAATCCCGCAGCTTCAAAATGGGGTTTAATTTCTCTACGAATAAAAGGAAGACATTTTCTTTCCATTTTGAAATACGGCAAGCGTCCATCATTTATCATTATAACTTTTTGAATTTTAGTTCCTCACCGGAGAAAATTCCCAAGAGCATTTTTCATGTCATGCTGCCTTGGCGTGATTGGTCCTTGTTAGTATACAGCAGTACCTAACTTGATAACCATCGCGTTTGGAATTTATGCCAGCAGTACTGGAGAGCGAGGAAAAAAAAAACGTGTGCCCTGGCGATTTTTGAGGATATAGCTACGCCTATTCTTCATTCTTTTTTAAAATTTGCTTTTGATTCGGTATTTGTAGAATATTGAAAAAAGTGGGTATGATGCACGGCTAATATACAAGGCGTATTCTTCGAATCGTGTGCTGCATTTTGGATTTCATCAGTAGCGGCATCGCAAAAACTTTTTTTTTCCGTCTCCGTACGTGTTTCTCTCTTTCGAAAAATTCAGGTGATGTTGGATTCCACCCTGCATACTATGCTCATATATATATAATGGAGATTATTATGGGCAGCGAACTTTCAAAGCGGGGAAAAGAAGAACCCTGCTGGTGACTGTGGCGAGTGTTCAGCTTGTTTTCCATAATGTGTGCATCCCCCATCAGAGGAAAGGACCGCGGAAATGTAAAAAATTTTCCCCGGGAAAATTCTCCCCTGTTTATATGCGTGTCGTCCACCATCAACAGGACTCGTGCTGCTGTGGACATTCTCATTTTATTTTCCTTTTTTTTTTTTGCGCACCTCGACTGCAAAAGAAGAGAAGTGGCCGGTCTTGTCAGCTAGAAAGCGTTCTGAATTCTGCTGGATGCCTTGCTCAGCACGCGATACCTGGAACGAAGGGTGATTTATAAAATTCAGCCCAGGCCCGTTTCGAGATCCTAATAATAATGGAGGAGCGGCGCCAAAAATTACGGGGCCATAAAAATGCCGTGGACGAAAATTAGACACTTGAAAACACGCCGCAGGAAAAAACATGAACAAAATGCGTGATGAAAAAGATCATCGTGCATCTGAAGGAAAATGAAATGAATGAGCGTATACGCAATCATTGACTCATGTGTATAAAAATATTAACGACCTTATATTCATTGAGAAGATTCACTTCTCTCTTTTTTTTTTTACTCCTTCTTCGTCTTTATGTATTTTAGATATGCGTTTTCAAATTCACATTTTCATTCAATTGTTATGAAAAACTAGGAGCATGTATTTGAAGTGTCGATTCCCCGTGAATGCATATTCTTGGCCGGTACCGGGTCATCATCTTAAAAAAATTTTAAATTATAAATTTCATCTAATAAAAATTTTTACAAAAAGAAAAATACTTTTCAAACCCAACCTAACTTAACCTAACATATCCTAACCTAACCTAACCTAACCTAAACTAACCTAACCTAACATTGCTGAAATTTTGAAGAAAAAAATCTGTGGTAGGATACCATTCT